GGTCTTACTCCGCTCCGCAGCCCTGCACTTGCTAAAGCAGCACATCTGGAGTTCATCGTAACCCACACTCTACACACACCACCCCCTCTGTGCTTATGACAACGTGGCAGTGCTGCTTTTCTCACTGTGAAATTACTTTTACTGCATGCGACAACATGACATTATAACTTTATAGTCCAGCTACTTTTGCACAAGATAGATTTACACAAAATACAACTAAAAACCTAGAATGCATAATTTGTTGAAAACATAGTGATGAGCAGCAGCATTTTACAAAAATACCCAAATGCTGCAGAGTGACTGGAATCATCTAATCATTCTTTGAAGTTGTTCATTTACATGATTTATTTAAGTGAACCGATTCACTAAAATGAATTAGACTGTCCAATGCTACATATGAGAGAGAGAGTGCAAAATTGATGCAAAACCATTGGTCGGACAAATCAATTATATCAACCCAAATTCATATCAATGGTTAAGAGATTTTGTTTAGATGCTCAAAATATAAAGGTTGTGCGTTGGCATCTATGGTTCCTTGAAGAACCGTTTCATTGTTCCAAGATTCATGCAACCTTTCCATTGTACAAAAGGTTTTTTATAGTGGTTCTTTAGATCCTTAAATTGTTCTTCATACTAAGAAAAATGGTTCTTTTAATAATTGTTTACTGAAAGATTCTTTGGGGAACCCAAAATGGTTCTTCTTTGGCATTTAGTCTTAAAAATAAAGGTTCTTTATGGGCATCAGTTGTTCCATGAAAAACCTTCAACATCTATGGAAACTTTTCTTTGCACAAAAGGTTATTTGTGACCCTGTACCACAAAACCAGTCATAAGTAGCACGGTATATTTGTAGCAATAGCCAAAAATACACTGTATGGGTCAACATTATTGTATGATACCAATATGTAACAATATGCCAAAAATTATTAGGATATTAAGTAAAGATCATGTTCCATGAAGATATTTTGTAAATTTCCTACCGTAAATATATCAAAACTTAATTTTTGATTACTAATATGCATTGCTAAGAACTTAATTTGGACAACTTTAAAGGCTATATTCTCAATATTTCGTTTTTTTTTGCACCCTCAGATTTCAGATTTTCAAACAGTTGTATCTTGGCCAAATATTGTCCTATCCTACCAAACCATACATCAATGAAAAGCTTATTTATTCAGCTTTCAGATGATGTATCAATCTCAATTTTGAAAAATTGACAGTTATGACTGGTTTTGTGGTCCATTTATGGGTTCTTCAGATTTTTTAAATGTTCTTCTCAAATGGTTATTTTAAGAACTGTTCACTGAAAATGGTTCCAAAATGATTCTTCTGAGGCATCGCCCTCAGAACCCTTTTGGAACTTTTGTTTTTAAGAGTGAACCAGCAGCAATGATTTCTAGGATATAAATCTACGAACAGCTTACTTATAGTTGTTGATTCTGTGTATTAAATTGGGAAAAGATGAAGTACTGAAACCAATCCCATCTCCAAAAATTGGAGAACAGAGTGTGCATGTCCCTGTTTGAACCAATTTTGGGTCTCCGATGCTGTCAGCATTGAGAAACACCATCATCTGAGTTTATTTCCGAAGCTGTTTGAGGAAATTAGATGCAGAGGCGGTATTTCAGAATCCTGTCTGGAGCTCAACATGTTCTGGCTCTGCCACTGTCTGAATCATTAATGAGGCCGTTGTGAGACAGAGAGCAAGAGAAAATAAGCCCTGACCTCTAAATATGACAAGAACAAGAGGTTTACTTCTGCTACTCTTTTTGTGCTCTGCATGAGAGCCTAGCGATTCTTCAGCAGATACAACATGTTCACCTCCAAATCAGAAAATAAATCCTGAAGTAATCTTCTCAGGGTTATGAAGGATAATGGTGAGATTAGATTTAGCAATTTGAGGGTTTATAGTGAGAATTATGATTCCAATAGTTAGCATCTTGATTCTAAGCCTGATGTTAGCCATGTTGCTGAGCTAAAGGATGCTAATACAAAAGTTTTGAGTCAGTTTTTTTCCCCCAGAAATGAATACTTTTTATTCAGTGAGGATGCATTAAATTGATCAAAAGCAACAGTAAACATTTATAATGCTACAAAAGATTGCTGTTACAAATAAATGCAGTTTTTTTTAACTTTCAGAATCCTGAAAAACAAAATTTCACAAATATTAAGCAACATTTAACATTAATATTAATAATGAATGTTTATTGAGCAAATCAGCATTAGAATGATTTCTAAAGGATCACGTGTCATTAGTAATGATGCTGAAAATTCAGCTTTGCATCACAGGAATAAATTACATTTTAAAATATATGAAAATTAAACTTTGAATTGTAATAATATTTTACAATATTACTGTTTTTGCTGTATTTGCTGTATTTTTGACCAAAGGCCTAAAAGCCTAATTAAGAGATTTCTTAAGACTGTTTGGTACAAAAACATACACACATGCAAATATTAGATTAAATAGTTGTTTTTAATTATATAGAACTATTTTCTATCAATTTTCAATTGCAGTGCATTCTGGGATTGCCTATTGCAATATGAAACACCCAATGCTGCTTGACATTTTTGTCAAAATTATATGTATATATTTGAACTTTGTCAATGTTTTGACTAATTGTCAGTATCCAACAGAAGTGTATATTTTTAACACGCTTTACTGTAAATAAAACTCAAACTCAGTGTAGAATATTCTGAGAAAGTTAGCTTTTTTTAAGGCAGCACTTTTGCTGTGTAATATTTTGAATAGTCAAGAGTGCATCTATGATGCTGTCTATATAGATAGGAACCTCCCGTCTGCTTTGAAAGAATGAGGTCGCACTGAGTAAAAAGACCAATTGCGATGAATGTCTCCTCAGTTTAAAGTCCAGTGCCGCTCTGATTTGAATGGAAGAAAAACAAAAAACTTACTCAAAGGAAATGGTATCACACACACACACACACACACACAAACAGCACACATCACACATATGTGCTGAGGCAGCGAGTAACAAATCTTCACTGACAGGCGTGATATGATATGATATTGATATATGATATCTCGATGGGCACAAATGTGAAGATTCTAGTCTGGCAGCTCGTTCCGCCCCTCCTTCTCTGAAAGATGTCATCTAAAATCATAAACATTCACATAAAACCCCCTTTATGATTTTATGCCTGCATGTCTGGCTGTCAGACAGTCACTTAAATGTACGTCAGGTGTTTGGCCGACTGCCCTGTTTTGCAGATATGGGATTCCCTGTCTTGTGTCTCTTGTGGCGGACAGATACACATTTATAATTCCAGCTCCCAGCAACTGTTTAGAAATTCATTTTTTAATGCTTTGTTACTGGATGGCGTCCCCTGGCTCACGATTTGAATCTCTTGAGCAGAATGTTGTTGTGGGAAGGTCTGGTGATCTCGTAGACTCATGAAAAGCACAATCTTATTCCAACTGCTAACACTAGATGGGTTTGCGTTTGGGAAGGTGGGAGAAAATGGAAAGGAAGAGCGAGAGGGTGCGAGTTGTAGAGGAGATCGGTTAAAAGTGCACTAGAGGTCAGTTCCTCTCTGGTGACCAGATTTTGCTGAGCTTAACTCATAAAGCAAACATCTTTAGTCATTGTGAAAGTTAATGTCAGTCGGTCATAACATAAAACTGGCAGGGTCAGAGGTCAGACTGTGGCATGATGTGATGATTGGCTTGGCTAAAAAAAAAAGAAAGTAAAATAGGGGGTTGAGTCCATAGATAGCTCTATTTAGGTATTCCATGCCAATGGGCGAGTCCATTAGAATTCCTTATGCAATTTTTCATTATTATTTATTTAAAATAATTATATTTAAAAAGCTACATGTATGTTTGTATAGCCTATATGTACTGAAAGTATTTGTGAAATCTAGCTAACAAAATATATATTGTGTGTTGGAGTGTTCCAGACGCTACACTATACTGTTATTCAGTAAGGATGCGTTAAATTGATCAAAATGACAATAAAGACATGTAAATTGTTGCAAAAGATTTCTGTTTCAAATAAATGCTAATCTTTTGAACTTTCTATTCATAAAAAAATCCTGAGAACAATGTATCCCAATACTGGCTGCTTAAAATTAATCTTGGTCTTCATAGGAATAAATACTATTGTGTATAATATTAAAATGTATTAAAATGGAAAACATTTATTTTAAATTGCAATAATATTTCACAGGAATAGTGTTTTACAATACTTGTCATCAAATAAATGCAGCTGGGTTGAGCATAATATTTATATCTTCTAATAATATTTACTATGTAAAACATTAACATTTACTTTATTTACGTAATATTATAAAGTAAATATAATAAATGTCATTTATTTATTTTCAGTATATTTTCTAATATTATATAAATATTGTAGAAAATAAATAAATGTAATTTAAATATTACGTAATAATACAACAACAACCAAACATTAAAATATTATATTCATTTATAAAAGTAAATATTATTAATTAAATGGTATTTAGTATTGTTTTCGAGGGATGTATCATAATATTTACTTTTATCTAATCTACATTTATCATAATATTTTCTATATAATTTTATAAAGGAAACATTTTAACATTTTATGCTTACTTTGTTTTATACAAGTAACTATAAAGCAAACATAATATTTACTTTTATTTTATAATAAATAGGCTACTCCAAAACTCTGCAAGTAGAAAAGATAAGTGAATAATAGTGCCCTATTTGTCAGACAGCCAGTTCATATCTGAATGAGCATTTTTTTTCCACAATAAATGAGCACTGCCTTTCCCACCTAGAAGCCAAACTAATGTTTTGTAAGTATTTTGCTTATCTTGACAAATGCAAATGCGGCATGGATGAAGTGAGCAGTATTATGGCATAACAGGGCAACGGTAGTGTCCTTTGTATTATTACCAGAACACCTGCCTGAGAGATTAGTCACGTGACTCATATCACACTTTCAGTTATATCATAAGCTAAAACTAACCCGTCTCCCCCTCTGTTTCGGGTACAGAAAGGTCTTTGGGTTTGGTCATGGACGAGCAGGCTGGCAGCACGGGCAGCAGCCCTCAGCACGGCCGTGGATCAGCCAAGCAGGACGTTCTCCGCTGTGGTTGGCTCCGGAAGCAAGGAGGCTTCGTGAAGACCTGGCACACGCGCTGGTTCGTCCTGCGAGGAGACCAGCTGTACTACTACAAAGATGAGGACGAGACCAAAGCTTTGGTGAGTGGCTGCTGATTTGGGATTTCATCATTTACTCACTCATTTTTAAAACTGACAGTTCGCATCTTTACATGCAAGCATACACAGATGTGCACATTACACTGTTTAAAGTCTAGCAGTTCATCCACACGCACCTATCACGACATTCTCCGAGTTCAAATCTCAAGCCAAGATGCAAACAAGAGAGGTGAGGACAGAGTGACCTGCTTTTTACCTCACTGAATGATGACTTGTCACGGTTCTTCATCTAACAATGGAGATTTTTATCCTCGAGGTCATGCAGCTGGACAAAAGTGTTTAGTATGGAATCAGGCGGGAATTTGAGAAGGTTCCATAAATCTGCCTTAAAACCATCCCGCCTTGTGCCTCCACTGAGAGGAAGACGGGCTTTTGCCCACAGGAATATTAAAGATTTATACCTTCACGTCCAAGTTTTAAGATTCGTCTCCTCTATATCTTTGAAGTTCCATGTTCAGCTTTAATTTTCATGTTTAATGCACTGTTTGAGCTTGTCGCAGGTTTCGTCAGCAGTCAGATATTGGATTTCAAGGGTAGTAGGCAGCTTCTTCGTTCAGGGTTTTCGTTGACAAAGCTATCAAAGGACACTGAATACGACTTTTGAAGGAAACGAGAGGCTTTGAAGTTCTTCAGACGACTATATTTGAGGTTTTTAAAATACTTAGTGAAGGATAGATGGTGTGACGCTCTTCTAGAATCCACTGGCAAATATTTACACAAATATGAGACAGTCTTCTATCAAAATACTAACGTCTGCCCATGTTTTCATATAAATAATGCAATGCAACTCTGGAAGTATTCAAAGTAAATTTTATAATAAATAATATAAACAGATTTTTTTTTTATCATATTATAAATATTTTGTCTAATATGATTTACTATGTATAGGTTTAACATATGAAGTGTGTAAATCTTAATTCACAAAGTATGTAAATCTTAACGATTTATTATTATTATTATACATTTGTATTATAGTGATCATATCTGCTTTATAATATTTGCATGATAATATATATATATATATATATATACACACACACACACACACACACTTTAGTCTTAATTTATTGTAGATAGAATAAAGAGATTTATTATAATATTTGCTTTTATATTTATCATAATATACTTAATTTTGCACAGTAAACATTTTATTACATTATTTTCTAGCAATATTGACTGTATGTATATAACTTTATATTATTATTAAGTATAATATATAAATAAATATACATTTTTTGATTATTATCAAAGATTTGTTATTGTATTTCTTTGTTAAAATAACCATATTTGCATTATGGTTATAATATTTGCATTATAATAATTACTTTTGTACACTAGTTTTAATAATACTTCAGTATAAATGTTTTAAGAAGTAATTTTTTTATCATATGTATTATTATTATTTATATTATTATATTTATTATTTATACTCCATATTTACTCCATATTTACACACACACACATATATATATAAACACAATATAATATAATGCTATATACTTTTTTATAGTATTATAAATATATTTATTATAATATATATATATATATATATATATATATATATATATATATATATATATATATATATATATATATATGACATATTTATAAATATTAAATAAATATATATTTACTTCATAATATAATAACGTTTATTATATTATTTATAATTTAAATTTAAAGCACAAATTAATTTATTATAATAATCATATGTCCTGTATAATTATAATATTTGCATTATAATATTTATTTGTATAGTACTATATATAAAGATTATAATAAATAAATCCCTCTATCTCTGTAGAACAAGCTGTGTGAAGTGTTTGGTTTATTTACGTTTAGTGGAAGCTGAGGTTTGCGTGAGTCGACTTGTTTGTCTGTAGCCTATTGTACAATGTTCTATTGTGCATAAGCCGCCATTCAAAGTCTCTATAGCAGTTTGTGGGTCAAGTGTACAAACATTTCTGTCAAAATAGATGAGTTACTGATTGATTCCCATTCATGTGTTGTCTGTGGGTTAATCCCTCACTGTGTCTGGACTGGTGTTTTTCGAGAGAATATTGTGTGTGAGTGTTTACATCTTTGCACACGTGGGTGTGTGTGTGTGTGTGTGTGTGTGTGTGTGAGAAAGCAATGGAAGGTCAGGTGAACTCAGACATGCTTTACCATGACAAAGCAAGTGCATGAATGCAAAACACCACAGCCTAAATCAAGCCCATGTGCCTAAAGATGGACTAGACCAATTCATATCCGTCCGTCCGTCCGTCCGTCCATCTATCATCCATCCGTCCATCCGTCCATCTATCATCCATCCATCTATCATCCATCCATCCATCCATCCGTCCATCTATCATCCATCCATCCATCCGTCTACCTATCTATCTATCCATCTATCATCCATCATAAATTTTATAGTTTATTTTATTAAATAATAAATTGTATTATATACTTTAAAATGCTTTAAAATGACTAATAAATACTTGTATTATTACTTTTATTCAGCAAGGAAGCACTAAATCCATCCATCCATCGCTTTCCAGTTGTAAACATAGATACAGCATCCATCCATCCATCATCAGTCTAACTATCCATCCATCCAACCATCCGTCTGTCCGTCCGTCTGTCCGTCCATCCATCCATCCATCCATCGTAAATTTTATAGTTTATTTTATTAAATAATACATTTGATTATATTTATTGCATTAAAATGATTTTGCTTCTTTGCACATTGATTATAAACTTTTATTATTGATTTATATACACTACTGATCCAAGTTTGGGTCTGTATATATATATACACACACACATACATTTATTAATACTTTTATTCAGCAAGGATGCATCAAATAAATCAAATTTGAATTTGATTTGAATATTATATTATATTATATTTAATTATTTAATTATATTTTATAATATAATATAAAATATCATTTACATTATTTTATTTTATTGTAAATCTATTATTAACGTTATTCTGTCTATATATGCATTATACTATTTAAACATCATAATATATATTGTATTAAAAAAAAGATAATCAACACCTACTTTTTATGGGTTATATTATATTTTATTATGAAGTACAGTAAGTTTTTATTTTACTGTTTACTATTATTTATGAAAAGATGGATTACAATGTGTATTATATAGCTTTCCCAAAAAGTGAAGAGCTTGAAAAAAGTCTACACACTCTCAAACATCAGAAAGTCCCAAGCGAGATGAAAGTAATATGAGCAATAATTTACTGAATAAAAACAAGACAAACATTTCGGTCACATGTTGACCATTTTCAATGCCAAGCTAACAAGGTTAGAACTAGGAGCCATCTTAATTTGAGGAATCACATGATGATTTAAGAGATCACATGATCAATCAGAACACACACTGATCCAAAAAAAAAAAAAATTATATTGCTTTAAAATATAAGGCAGGAAGTGTTTCCCAAGATTGAATTTTTTTACTTAAAAAAGAAACATACACTGTAAAACAAATTCCGTAAAATTTACGGTAAAAAAACGGCAGCTGTGGTTGCTGGAATTTTACCATAAAAAATACGGTAGCAACGTTTTAGGTTTTACAGTTTTAACTTAAATTTATGTTAATATACCAACCTATTGAAGTACTGAAATCTGTTTTGTACCTTTGTAATACACTGATAACCACCAAATGCAGGTCGTGATGAGAAAGTCACATGATGAACCAAAGCCCATCACAAGCAGCTTTTAAATAATAACATATATAGAAGGTGCACAAGGTGTCATTCACACAAACACCAAACACCATCATGGTAACACACATGAAACTGAAATAATGCAATAAATATTCATTTAACAACATTAGGTGTAACACACAACCCTAATATACAAAACTGATAAGAAAAAACTTATTTCAACAAAAAACATAAAATTTGAAAAGTAACGCAGGGAATTCTGGGAATGTCAATTTACGGTTATTCACTGTAAATTATACGGTCTTTTTCACTTCCAAAAACGGTATACTACCGTAAAATTTATGCCCAATACATGTAATATCCAATACAGTTTTTCACTTTATATAGTAGGGGAATTTACCGTTAAACATTTAACAGGATTTTACTGTAGCATTTTTAGAGTCTTTTACCGTTAAATTCACGGTGATTTTTTTACAGTGTAATTAAACACAATGGCCTGTACTGTTGAAATGCTGCAGTCATTCAGCTTCTGCATTCGAATATAATTAAACAGTGATATTTAGTCTTTTGGCAGCTTTCACAAGATCCAGCATGACTTCAGTTCAGCATATTGACAGAATCAAACAGTAAGGAAAATACTCCTGTCTGATAGCAACAGCTTCAAAGCCTTTGAACAATCTGCATATGTGCAAACTTTTAAAGTCAGAGCTGCTTTTGATCTTCTAAATGCAGTTGTTTTGTGAAAGTCGGCACAGGGTGTTTAACTGAGAAAAGTTTGTAAAAACGCCTTCGCCTTATAAGACCTCGCTCTTCGCTTTGCTTCCCTGTGCATGTCTTTCTTAGATGGCAAGAAAAATGACACTAAAAGGTTGAAAGTTCCTAAAAAAAATCAGTCAGTCTTCCCATGGTGCACCTCTTTTTGACATGCACAAACAAAGCAAGAGTACTAAAGACTACTCTTTTGGCATATTTCAGCATATTTCTAGTCATCTAAACAAAAAAACATGACACTGAACATCTGAAATTATGCATCACCCACATTTTGAACAGCATTTAAACACATTTTAAATATGCATAAGCATCACAGCATGTCATTTTCATTGGCCACGATTTAGCCCGCCTTTCCAAACATATTCTGTCTCCGTCCATCTCTCCAGCCTACACACCGAAGGTTAAGAGCTGGAGGGCAAACGGAAAGAACAACCGCCGGCCCACAATGCATCTGTTGTTCTGCTCTGTTTTATGAATGAGATCCCTTATGCTCTTCAAGATGTGGAATATTACAGCCTTCCAGGGAAGACAATACAAG